GTCGTGTGGCACCCTTGCGTGTCCGTCCGTAAAGGTCAGCCTCCCCGAAGCCTCCCATTGTCCCTTAGGACCAACAAAAGTGAGAACGGGTTAGAGAGAACGCCTCAATTGGGATCCACAAGCAAACATCTCCAAAAAATACTTCATAGACAATGCAAATTACAAACAGATTTTACAAGCTCTGAACAGTTGCACAACAAAGGGTAAAATGGTCCATTACAGACCGAAAATCTCTCGCACGTGTCCACATGACACAACCTTTATTTACAAACCTAAAGAGGCCACTAACCCAAATAAAATGGGACTATTATGCCTTCGGCCGCCCCTCTACATGCTGTACAAGACATGAACATGCCAAAAGACACGGACATACATAAGCATTACATCAAACATCCTGTTTCGAAGTTTGTCCGTGACAATCTGGTGGATCATCACATCTCAGATTTCGGGGTGTGACATAATAGGAGCTAACATTATCAATAGATGATGCTTTTCTAGTTTGTGCATATTGGGCATTCAATATTTTTTAACATTTGATCTGTCTGTGACTAATTTGTTATCTTTGTTATATTTTTTAACGATAATGAGCATAACTTCGTCTTCTTTGCATATTCTTGGCTTCAGTCGGGCTTTTTCATTCATGCACAGTATTCCCTGCTGCTTTAGTTTAGCATCTCAAAGGTGTGAAATTAGAGGAGCTCATTTGATGCTGCTTGATATTCTCCATTTCTTTCAAATTATGACAATCATCTGTAATTTAATTTCTCCCACTGTCAAAATGATATGATTGTGTGTTACTGCTACACTTTTTGTAGTGTTAGAACATGAAATTTAGATAAATGAACTGGGTGGAATCTTCTTCTTAAAGTTTTCCTTTTTATTTGCGGACTGATACTGATTGCTGGCTTTTATCAGATTCTGGATTTAGTATTACAGACATGTGGAAGACAACAGGTATCCTTTTTAAGTTATTGCTCATTTCATCCTTTCTGACCAGTTTCAAACGTCACTTGGAACTCAGCTCAAATTTTAGCAGGGGTAGAATGGGATGGAATCAGCGAGTTTAGTACAGATGACATTGTTACGGTTAGTGCTAGCACACCTTAGCTGCAGGTTCCATCTGGTGTTATGGGGACTGGTACACTGTAATCTAGAGATAGAAGATTCGTTTGTTGGTGGGGACAATCAGGTTCCATCAAGATCCCCAACATCACTGCCACAAAGATCAAGCTTGGTAACAATCTGATGATCGATGGTTTTGGTGGTGAGGATATTTGCAAGAGCAGTATCGATTGCCAGAAGGAACAGCTGCAGTTACTGTGTACAGTATAATAGTAAATCTTGGTGTATTATTGTTCATGCCTGATATTGAGTGAGTCCTCACTTATTAGTTCATAGGTTTCAGATATGGTTGTTGGCTTCTGCCAAGTGACTGCATCATATATACACCACTGATCTTGAGTCCAATCTTGTTTGAAGAGTTTAGAGAACAAAATCTCTTGGGTTGTGTGCATTCTATGTATAGAGACTAGAAAGAGCTCTTGGACCTGTCCTTCAACGGTCCATCTTTCTGGAGGACACAAGGAAGTGTGTGCGTCAAACATGCATGCAAACGGTTGTATCCTGTTAGGTTGCAACTATGAGTGCATTTGATCACTGTATTTAAACTATGTTATTGGTTTCCATACAATTTGCTCCTACATTTTACCAATATGATGCAAGACCCTTTGCAGTCCATTCACCTCGGTGATAAAATTTCAATGTCTGAGATTCATTGCCTCATTAAACTATAGGTAGATGCTTTATCATGAAAATCTATCTGCATCATGGCTATTTGCAGGTAACCAAACTGGTCTTGGATACTTGTTCAGCAAGGCAGAGACTCCATCAAGCATATCTTCTACGTCATGGCTAGGTAACCAAACTTGTCTTAGACCTTGTTCAGCAAATTAATCATTGTTTAATTGTTAATCATTTGTGCAACTGAGGTATCTGAGAGGTCTAAATAATTACTAGTGCTAGAATTCATGAAGCTAATTCCATACAAAATGAATGATGTCAATGTTCTTTGACTAGTCTTGAGTAGTAGCTGAGTGGCCAAGAATAAACACAGCCGAGTATGACTAATCGAAATGATTAGTTCTTAGTGTTTGGCTCTGGCTAGCGTATTTAGTTTCGGTTGATGGTGCCGAAAACATCTGGAGCTGTGGTCCATAGAAGAACCACATTTGTAATTCTTATCACATAATTTTCTGGTGCATTCTAAGTTGGATGAAAGTTTCAGGGTGATGTATAGATAGCTGGTTTTTGAAGATGTCCCTGGGGTGCAGTTAGTATACCTGCAGAGTCAGAGTGCACCCATGTTTTCGCCCTAATGGATTGAAGACGGCGACAGCAACAATAAGCTACTGTTCCCAACTGTTCATATCTGCTTCACAAATACTTTCTCATTAGCCAACTCTGTCAAGGACAAAAGTCACTACTTTTCGGTTCCCTTTTTGGAGGCTTCAGGTATCTGAACTTTTTACACTCAGCTTACTGTGGTCTTTTGTTTCCTGTTCACAGTTTCTCTAAAAGAAACTGTGATTTCTTTGTGGCCTTCTGAACTCTGGTACATCAGTCCAATCAACTCGAATGTTAGAAACCTCAAGACCTAATTTGTCTAGCTTGGATACTCAATGCTAAATAGATAGGTGAGCAGTAAATATTCCCCATGAATAATGCAGGCGCCCTGTTCTGACATGGTCCTAAAGAAATCACGAGAGACAGCAGTGGGAAACCCGTGGTGGTCACAGACCTCATGACTGACGAGAAGCGAGAGGTTGAAACCCATGGCAGTGACCATCAATGGACCACCTTTTGGCTTTACCAAGAACCCTGTGAGCTTGATGAAACATAGGTACTTTCACGCAAATGCCTGTTCCCTTTTATAAATGTCCATGCGTTATATCAATCTTTAAGATAAGTAGTTTCTGGACAAATGGCTTTGACTTCATATTCCTATCTTCTGAACTAATCTCATACGATAATAAGTGTACAAAACAAAAGTCCACATGCTAATCACTTACAGCAGTTGCAGAGGTGAAGATTGTAGAGCATGATGATGTTGGATGTTGTACTTATGGTTGTCAGCAAAAGGAAAGAGTTCCTGTTTTATGGTCAACTGTCCCAAGCTTGCTATTTTGTTGGTGTCTCATATTGACTTGTTCTGAAGTCACGACATATGTTCTTAATTAGTTTTGTTGTATTATGGTGCATGAAACATTCAGCAAGTCACGCACCATTGCAGCTGAACTTTCAGAGTCACTAAAGGACAGCAAAATTATTGATCACAATTTACTGGAATTAAAATTCATTTAATTGCTACAGCAAAAATGGCCAAGTTTGGAAGTTTTTGTTGATTGAGGTACCAGATCCTCTCATTGACTTAATGAAATTCTTCTGTTTTTATCCCCCATTTAGAAAGAAATGCCTGATTCTAATGCTTGGGTATCACCTTCAACTAAGTCTGAAACCTCTGTGTGTGTGTGTGAGAGAGAGAGAGAGAGAGAGAGAGATCCACCATTAGGCTAAGGCTCTTTTGGAACTAGTGTTGATGCCAATTAATCTAAAGATCAAAAGTATAGAGGGCTTAAAAGCCTTTAAGCAGACACAGCAGCTACTGATTTCTTAAATCTAAGCATACTAAGCCTTTAAGCAGACACAGCAGCTGCATCAGACACAATGACTAAACAAGTTGCTCTGGTCTTCCCCCCCAACCCCAATGAGCAGGTCCTCATTAAAAGTCATGCACTTCAATGCTTGTGATTAACATTAACACAATGTGTTGACACCCAAGGATGTCAGGCCTTGTTAACTAACATCAATTTCCCTCGAAATAAAAAGTGTCTCTCGCTAACACATTTGGCAATTCCAACCTGCAGGAAAGGAGTGGGAGGAAAGTAACCACCAGTTGCTTGGGTTCAGAGCAGTCAGCAATGTGATGACTACATTGTTGCTCTATTTAAATAACATATCTGAGTATGGTTTTAGCCCTTCCATAACTGGCTTTCTCGAGCAGTGTAATATATATTATTAATGACGATGGTCGCCCCAACAAGTATTAATTAATTGCTCAGGAAACAAAGGGCTTTTGCATGGTTTTTGGCAGTTCACAACACGATGCAGGTTTTAGAAGCTTCCCAGTTGAAACTACAGACAAGAATCTAATTCTTATCCATCTCCTCGTCCTTCTCTAAAGTTAGACAGTGATGCATGCCATAATTAACCCATGTGCAGGCTTTGTTAGTGGATGAAGTTTAAGGCTGCTTAACCTTTTTTGTCTTCTTGTGAAAGGAAAGGAGATGAGATAGATACGTCTTCCTCGGACAAGTAACAATTGTTACAAAGAGTTTTCACTAGGATTTCTTGGCTATCTTATTTGACGGCAATTATTCTGTACTAAGTTTCCTTGGGATAAAGCCTCGACGAATGAGTCTATTCAGCTTAAATCCGACTGACTATCATTTAATAAAATGATAGTCGATTATATTAGCTTAAGTACGTAGAGATAGTAGAGTTTAAATTAGAGATTGAAGATAGAGAGAGTAGAGATACAAAAATTAGTGGTATCTGGGTGGGAGAAGCAGGCCAGGTGGAGTTGGGACATTCCATGTTCAATTAACGACGAAACTCAACATTAACACCTTGTAATTGAGCGATAGAATCAGACAGCTGCTCTCATTGACCTGAAAAGATGTGACATTTCCTAGGTCCTGTTGGAGAAGGATGAGAGAGCAGCACTCCTCGTGGGTGTGGCCTGATGGAGAACACCAACCCTGCATCAGCAGTGCTTCATGGTTGTCATCATCTGCTGCAGAAGAAGTGGTGTTCCAAAGCATCCATAGGATCACTTGTCTTGCTCTACCAGAATTATTGGGTGTCATGCTAATGTCCATAATTGGTTACAACTGTGATGCCCTTCTCATCTACTATGCAAGAGGACATCCACCCGGCTGGCCTCTTCTTCTTCTTCGACGACAGAACAACTCTGAATCTGAGTCCATCGAGACAACAAGCTTCTTCTATCTTCCAATTAAACTAACAACATGAGCTTAATCAAGACATAGCAAGTGGAAGAAAAGAAGAAGAAGAAGAAGAACGAGAAGAAAGAGAGAGAGAGAGAGAGAGAGAGAGTTGATAGCTCTCTGCCTTGAAACTTCACTATCTGAAAAACTCTAACAATATACATGTCAATAAGTCAACTGGACTCACTTCTCTCCGCCTCTTTGATTGCCTCGATCTTAAAAGAATTGGAAGATGATGAGGAAGAAGACGGAGGAGGCCGAGGTGAAGCAAGGCCTAGGACCAAATCCGCAAAGGCTGCAGCTACGAAGCGATGGGTCTTCTTCCCGTTGACCTTTAGATACCAAACCAGCAGCTCCTCGAGCCGCTCCCAGTCATTCAGCCCATGAGCCGCCACCATCTCCTCCATCGACCGCCGGAAGTCGCGGTAGGGGTCCTCCGACTCCATGGCCAGCACGACGCTGCCCTCGAACGGCGACACGCCTGCCTTCGCCTCCTCCAGTATCGAGCTCGTGTCGCCGCCGGGCTCGAAGAAGAGCCGGTCCGACCGCAGCCCGCGCACCACGGTCTCCACCGAGCCACCGCCGGAGCGGTCCGACACCGTGGAGAAGCTCTCCTGCTCCGCCGACGAGCGGGTGAAGCACGACTCGGTGGACTCGACGTACACCGAGTTGACAGTCTTGTACGTGGCGTCGCCCTCCACCTCACGGAAGGAGCTGGTCTTGGGGTGCTTGCAGGAAGGCCAAGGCCATGAAGGAGGAGGAGAAGGAGAAGAGGAGTGGCAAGAAGGCCTTGGCGTGTCCCTAAGCCTGAAGAAGAGAGAGCTCAAGCCTAACTTCTTCCCCATCTGGTTTCTCAGACACAGGAGGAAGAGGAGGAGGAGGAGGCAGGTTTTGAATTCTCACATGGAGTCTGTATGGCCTGCGGCATGCATTAATTGAAGGTGAGAGGAGGTGAGGGAATCTTGAGCTCACTTCCTTATACAACCGCAGGGGTAGGGAGGAGGAGATGTGTGTGTGGTGGGGTGACTCATGCGGCCATCAACTGTAGGCTTTGGTGCTGCATTGCATCATAGAATAATACACTTGTTTAAGCTAAAGCTAACAGCAATAATGATGATGCCACCTGAATCCATCCATCATGGTCACTTGATGATCTGCACAAAACTTGACGTATCAGACATGGCTTCTGTGTCACTGATCACATACTTCAAATCATAGGATCATAGTCCTGGACGAGAAGTGTCCCAATGTTGATTTGCTTCGACAACTCCGAATTATGTATATGTATTATTACATATATCATGAAAGGACAGTCGTTTTTCCGGTTCCTGAAAAGCTGATCACTTTCATAAATGACTGGCAGAAAAAAAAAAATAAAAGGACCATATTGAATGTGTTGGCGATCCTCTGAAATGATTTGCGTTCGGTGTCTCAAAGTACTTCCTTTGGGTGATCAAAGACTTCCAATCAATTGTTCTAATCGAACATTGAAGGCACATTAATTTTTTTGCTTGGCTTCGATTTGCATGCTAACATGAGAGAGAGAGAGAGAGAGAGAGAGAGAGAGAGCATTAATGGATGGTCGATGGAGACATGAGATGGAATTTATTGCTTCACCTTCTTAGTAAACCATGAACCTTTTAGCCACTACATTTCTTTCCTCTTCTCTTCTTCTGGAATACTATTCTGCGATCTGAAACACCGTGTCATGAACAGGCTCAACAAATCTCCTTCCTGCACACCATCATGAATCATTCTTGGATCAAAATATTTGGCCCTTGTGTGAGAATAATAGTGAAAGTAACCATCTTCACTCCCCAAACAACTGGTGAGTGGTCACTGTAATTTCAAAATAAGAATTAAGTTCCGAGCCAATTAATTTAGTGTACGATGAAACCAAAAGTTTGGAGTTACAGTCTTCTATTTCCGATGAAGAAAGAAGCAAAAGCACCTCATCAATATGGGGTTGGGTTGAGGGAGGATATCAACGTAAGTAGTTAATCAGTAATATTTATGTATTCATCGATTTGATCAGGTTCTGTGAGTAGTATCAGTTACATGAAAGATTCATGGCTCTCAGAATCTTTTGTGGCATACTAAGCCACACAACGAGATAAAACTGTCTGATTCATGGTCATCATGCGACGAAGGAAACTGAATGAAATATCCATGCCATTGTTCTTTTCTTCTTTCCCTCTCTCTTTATCTAACATATCTCGTGTTGGAAAATATCATCTTCTGGTGGGCTTCTCGGCTGAAATCCTCCCATCTGCACATGCAAAGTTGACCGCCGAGTTAAGATGTAGAAGCTTGGTATTCTGCTGCTCAACGGATTTACTTGATATACGAAGCAGACAGACTTCGTATGACTTTTCCTCATAGGATATTAGTTAGTATATGTCCTCAATTTTCCTTCGGTAGGCATACGAATAATGCAGTGTGTCCCAGAAAACTTGTCGATTACTTGTTTCAGTTCGACCTCATACTTAGAGCCAAAAAAGAATGATCGGAAATTGAAAGATGAGATGCTGACTTATCATATAGTGAATTCAGTTGATGAGGGCTAGCGATCCGATTCACCTTTCTCAAAACATTCATTATAAACTCGAGAGGTACTGAGATAGACCTATCAGAAATAGTAATGCATAAAAAACTGGGTGGTCTGAGTTGGGGAAAATCTATGAAAATAGATGGATGCGAATGGACGTCAATGGGATTCTCCTTGTTCGATGCTCGAGTTATCCTGATGACCCGAACCGATTCTCTTTGCTTCAGCATTGGGAGAGTTAATTATGGGTATGGCAAAATAGTACAATATCTGTATGATTTGTGACTGTGTCTCGATGCATCTCAAGAGGATTAACGAGGTAGGGGTTGGTTGGTTCAAGGTGGAAGGGAATAAAGGATACGCAAGGCATTGATGAGAGATGTAACATGAGAATGGCAGTGATTGTGTAGGACTCGTCGAGAATTTATGATGGGGAGTGGAATGCATAAATTGGGCTCATTTTTCATGTACTTGTGAAGCAGCCAACTTCTCTAACGTGATGGGACGGTAGTTCATGGCTCGCAAGATGCAAGCTTTGGGAAGCTCATCATGAGTTCTAGAGATCTCTTTGCCTTTGCCATGGCTTAATCGAAGGAGGTCCCTTTTTTTTGACCCATCAAGGCAACATCTTATGTGTTCTTGTAATATTGCAAGCTAAACATATCTGTATTCAACAGATATATTCTTTAGGTATCAACAGATATATATATATATATATATATATATATATATATATATATATATATATATATATATATATATATATATATATATATATATATATATT